CACGCACACCGCAACCGCCATTTTGTTTTCCAAAATGGCGGCCATGACGCTTTTGCGCATGCGCAGGAATACTGCACATGCGCAAACGCATTGTGGTCACCATTTTGGAGAACAAAATGGCCTCCGCAACACGTGTGGAGGCGGTGGCAGCAGTGCGCGCAGCGGCGGCGGCGGCAGTGGCAGCGGGCGCAGGGGAGTCATTTCATACATATGAGTCATTTCTAGTAATTAGCTATATTTGTGAGAATAAAAACCTTCTACCTACATAATAGTTGAGAACCAAATACTTCCTTTTAACTCTTTACTTTGTTATTTTCTTTTTACCTTACGTAGTATTTAAATCACACTATCAAGAGCAATCTTTACTTTTTCAAGAAGTTTTTCATGGATCTGCTTCTTATAAAGTTACTGTAAAGTCACTCAAAGTTACTCTTACAGAGTTACTAAGATTTCCAAATAAAAGTATAACAATCAAAGAGAAAGTTATTAAAAAAAACAACCATATGCTTATATCAAGTTTACAGACTCCTTGTAAATGTTCATTCCCCATTCATTGCAAGACACTATATTAGGGGTAGGCAACCTTTTTGAGCCGGGAGCTGGGTTGCTGTCCCTCAGACAATTGGGGGGCTGAAGCACCAAAAATAAATAAATAAATAAATAAATTTTTAAAAAATTAAAAAAATTAAAAATATGCATGCACACTCTCTCAGCCCCAGAAAAGCCATGGCAAAACCCTTGTGGAGATTTTGCCAAGAAAACCCCAAGAACAAGTAATAACAACAATAATCAATATCATCATGGCAGGTGGCGGTGGCGGTGGCGGTGGGGGGTGGCGGCGGCGGTGGCGGCAGCGGCAGGACCGGCCTGGGGCCAGTCCAAAGGCCTTGAGGGGCTGCATCCAGCCCCCGGGCCTTAGGTTGCCTACCCCTGCACTATATAATCAAGCTATGCCAATCTTTTCTCCAATATTTTATCACTGGTATCTAATCTTTTTCTACTTCTTTTAATGACTTATTATTTAATCTGCAGGTAAGTTCATTTAGTTCAATCATATCCAGTAGTTTTATTAGCCACTCTTCAATTGATGGTATTGTTATCTCTTTCCAATATTTAGCTAGAGAATGCGTGCAAATGTCACCATATATAAAATTAATTTCCAATGTTCTTTTTGAATTGCTTTGTCTAATACCAATGTCATATTAAGCAAAAATAATTTAGGTCTCATAGGAATAGATTTCCCTATAATTTGTGACATTTTAGATTGTATTGATTTCCAGTATTTTTTGATAATAGGACAGCTCCACCATAAATGAAAAAAGATCCTTATGTTGCTTTGCATTTACAACATGTTGGGTCAACTTCTTTATACATTTTATTTAATTTAGTTGGGGTAAGATACCATCTGTGGAATATCTTGATATAATTTTCTTTAAGGTCCTGAGATTTAGTAAATCTTTGTGTCTTTCTCCAAGAATCTTCCCATTGTTCTAAAGTTATTGTATTTTGAATATTTTGAGTCCATTTAACCATGTTGCTAGCTACTTGTTCTTTCTCTAATTGTAATCTTAATAATGTGTCATAGATTTTGGATATAATTTTCCCCTTTTCCTTAATTAAAGTGTCTCCTAATTTGTCATCTTCCATGTCAAAATCTTCCAGTTTTTTATCCATCACAAATCTTTCTTGAAGTTATTGATAATTAAACCAATGACAATTAATAATAATAATAATAATAATAATAATAATAATAATA